TGGTCTCATATATAGTGGTCCACATGCCAAGAGTTTGGGAAACTTTTTTTTTTAAGCTAATTGGATTGGTTTTGAACATGTTTGATATTGTTTTAGTGATTTTTTTAAAATATTTTTGAATATTAATAAATTAAAATAATATAAAAACACATATAAAAAATAGATTTTATTAAAGAGAAAAGGCATAAAAATAAACCAATTTCTGCCAAGGTCGACAAACAAATTGAGTGGACAGTTTTTTAAGATGGTTATCTTTCCATGCTCAAGGTTGTGACCAAATGGCTCTCTCCATCTTTTAGTCTAGTGGTGGACTTGGTGAGGGAAACTTTTCTACAGATGGAGACAGAAAAGGAGTGGTGTTCTAATAATTTAGCCATTGATAGTGAAAATTGGTGTGGAATATTCAAGTCCTGAAGCATCTACAAGATGCCCATTTGACATCGGCAAAATATTAAATATGTATGAGTGATGTGAATATAATGGAGTTAAATAGCAATTTCAAGTTTCTAATTTTTCTCAATAATTTTAGTTTGAAATTATTTATTTTTATTGTTTGAGAAAGTGAATTTTAAATTTTTTTAATTAATTTTTTTTATTAAGTTCAGTCTATTTTATTTTGACATATTTATTAAATTAACACCTGAACGATTCTAATAAAATCTCAATAATTTATTGTTTTTTAAATTCATTTGTTAATAATTGATGTTTCCACTAGTTGACATCCTTGTACAAGATAAAAGCTTTTTGATTTTCAGAATTGATAAACTATATATATAATTTTCTGCAAACGAGAAACAAGAATCAGAGTGGCGCAGCGGAAGCGTGGTGGGCCCATAACCCACAGGTCCCTGGATCGAAACCAGGCTCTGATAGAAGAGTTGCTTCTACCTTCCCACTCGTTAGTTTTTCATTTAATCGCTGTATTCTTTTTTATTAAAAAACTGTTAAGACTTTGAAGGAAGGCTTCTCCGTGAGGATGGTTACAACTTTTAAACAATTTCTACTGATATTAATTTGTTACTAATGATGATGTTCCCAGAAAAGTACCAAGGAAACCAGCGTTGAAGCCACCGAATTCTCTTGGCCCTGCGGACTGCTTGGGATTTTGATGAAATTTTCCATGAAATTGAGGGATGCCAAAGCAATGCGTCAGTGTTACTCGATGGTTGCAAGCTTGCCAAGAAGTCATTGCAGCCACTTGAAATACAGGTTGGTTGGGAAGATAAACGCAGATGGCAGATGACAAGTCAGGCGTGGGTGAAGATGTTAACTTGTGCAGCGGTTTCATTGTGGATTGAAAGACCATGCTCAAACACTCATCTGAGCTGCGGTGCTAATCGAGTGTATAATGTTCCAAAAACATTGCAACAGCAATAATTTTCTGTGTTTCAAATTGAAAAGCTGATAAAAATTGTTCTACAGCCCTTGCACATCAGTGTATCAGCAAAACCAAAGGTTAATTTGAGAGCTATAAATCAAAGGCGCCTATTTCTTTCGATCCTCAAGAGTGCCCTTCATATATCTCAGCCACTACCCTACTTGACAGTAACGATATTGCAGTTCAATCTACAGTTACTGAGCAATCAGTTCTTGTACTGGGAAAATGAATTCTATTCCCTGCCAATGTTGATATCCCTGTGGCTTTTTTTGGTATCAAAAATAGAAAAGCGGGAAAATAGTTTTCCTTTAATTCCTGGCGGGCATGACTGTCAAGATAAGATGAGGAATGGCATGAACCTGCATAATATGGCCCGAAATGTGAGGAAACAAAAGTTACTTGTTTGGCTTGGTGCATTCAAGGATTACGAGTGGATAGCCAACTCTTGACTTGATGACAATCCTTATTTTCTCTTGTTTGTCCAAAACGTCATTGATAACGTCAAAATTGGAGCCATGCGAAAACATGAAAGTTGTAGGCAATTGTCTTAGCTTTCTTGTGTAACAAATTCAGCTCATTTGGACTTTTAGAACTCCAGATATAGCCTAAATACTGAACAGTGCTCAGGCTGGAGGACAACTTCGGGCTTCTTTGTTGTTGCAACAATTTAGACTTGAAAATGGCCTTTTTAGATTTTAGGCTCCATATAAAAGTTGTAGGGCTATATCTTACCTTTCCATCCATATAAAGTAGACCTAAATTTGAGATCTATAGCTCCAAATATGACCCAATTATCGAACAGTGTTCCGGTTTGGATTGCATCTACATTTCTTTTCTAATTTTGGTCATCTCTTTGCCTTTGCAATTTAAGTTCTTAAAGTCATCAATCAATCCTTTCATTTATGTGATAGGCCTGCATTTAAAATCAACATTTACCATAAATTAAAGGTATCTTATATTATTAGATATATTATTATAAAACATGTTTTAGTTAAGGAGTTATTGATACTTCAAGTGCAAAATGATGATATAAAATCATGATAAAAATGCACTTTTAAGTACTAATCACACCCCCTAACTAGCTTATTACTAGTCCCTAGTAATCAAAGCGTTAAAATAAGAAAAACAATTTACAAATTCAACAAAGCAAGGTATTCATCTTTTAACTTCCATTAATCTATCCAGATAAACAAACTCTCGTTAAATTTATATACCTGCTCAATACCTCTTAATAAGATATTCATAAACCATTCTTTTATGCTCAATGTATCAACATATAATTATGGGGCTTTTCTTGGAAGAAAACAAAATTTTTGTTCTAATGTTGAAGGTTAACTTCCTTGAGTTGGGATTATTGTTTTTTTCTCTTTTTTTTTTTCTTCTTTTTTTTTAAATATATATACATTTAATTTAAAAACAACATGCATCTTTAACCCATGTAACGAGCTTGCGACTAATGACTCCCAGACCAGTTGGTCTTAGGGCATTAGGTGTTAAGACACCCTTACGAGCTTAGTAACTCGGGTCGCAGATACTGATATGTAGATAGTGCAATGTTTGATTACTTTAAGCTTTTCTCCTTAACTCATGTAACAAGCGTTGGGTCAATAGCTCCCAAGTCAATTGACTTTAGGGTATTAGATGTTAAAACACCCCTTCGGGCTTAATTACTTAGGTTAGGGAGGCTACGAAACCAAACTTATCTATATTTTTATTATTATCATTTTTTTTCTTTTTTTTTTAATTATATACAATCTCTTATCATTTTTTTTTTTTTTTTTTTTCATGTTTTTCTTTTTTTCTTTTTAATTATATACAATCCCTTTCCCTTAGTTGTTACCTTTAACAAAAGAACATAAATAATGTAATAATCCAATGTGCAACCCACAATCATATATTAAAGTGTGTGTGTGTGAAAATTAAGGTTTAAGAATACATGTTAAATGAGTATATGAGCAGAATTAAGTGATAATAATACGAGAGTTTGTAAAGCTGAATATTTCAAGAAGTATTATAATAGACCTTGTTAAGAATGGTTACTAAGATGCGTCTCAAGAGTCACTTTAACAAAAGAGCTCATTTACTCTGTCATCCTAGTAACAACAATTATACACATGCTTTATGAAATGGAAAACAATTTTTATTTTTTTTATCAACTACTACCCTCTCCCCCCAACTAAAACAAAGACATTGTCCTCAATGTTCTAAGATAGAAAGATAGAGTATAGAAGATATCACCTGAAATAACGAACATTGACAAACCTGAAACACACTTAAACAAAAATAAGAAATAACAAAATACAATAATAAAACAAAACAACACAAAAATTACAAATGAAGACTCAAATCTAATCTAAGCTTTTTACGGCTTTCCTTAGATGATCAATTTATACGATTCATGGAGGGATCAATTACAGGAATGAAAGATTGTAGTTGGTCAATCAATTGTTCAATAGTAGCAGCAGAGATTATGATTTGTCTTGCAGAAGATGTTAGAAATTCCTGTTCCACAGCATGATCAAGAAAAGACAACAACTTATCATAATAACCATTAACATTTAACAAACCTTATTCATTTTCCCAGTACAAGAACTGATTGCTCAGTAACTGTAGATTGAACTGCAATATCGTTACTGTCAAGTAGGGTAGTGGCTGAGACATACGAAGGGCACTCTTGAGGATTGAAAGAAATAGGTGCCATTGATTTATAGCTCTCAAATTAACCTTTGGTTTTGCTGATACACTGATGTGCAAGGGCTGTAGAACAATTTTTACCAGCTTTTCAATTTGAAACACAGAAAATTATTGCTGTTGCAATGTTTTTGGAAAATTATACACTCGATTAGCACCGCAGCTCAGATGAGTGTTTGAGCATGGTCTTTCAATCCACAATGAAACCGCTGCACAAGTTAACATCTTCACCCACGCTTGACTTGTCATCTGCCATCTGCGTTTATCTTCCCAACCAACCTGTATTTCAAGTGGCTGCAATGACTTCTTGGCAAGCTTGCAACCATCGAGTAACACCGACGCATTGCTTTGGCATCCCTCAATTTCATGGAAAATTTCATCAAAATCCCAAGCAGTCCGCAGGGCCAAGAGAATTCGGTGGCTTCAACGCTGGTTTCCTTGGTACTTTTCTGGGAACATCATCATTAGTAACAAATTAATATCAGTAGAAATTGTTTAAAAGTTGTAACCATCCTCACGGAATTAATATTGAAAATTAAAAAAAAATTGAGTCTTTTTTATATATTTTCAACAAAATGGAGGAGTGCTACAAATCAGAAAGGGCAGTATTAAATTTAGAGAATAAAATGAGGGACCTAATTGTAAATATAAAATAATACAGGAGAGCGATTAAATATTAAAATAACGAGTGGGAAGGTAGAAGCTACTCTTCTATCAGAGCCTGGTTTCGATCCAGGGACCTGTGGGTTATGGGCCCACCACGCTTCCGCTGCGCCACTCTGATTCTTGTTTCTCGTTTGCAGAAAATTATATATATACTTTATCAATTTTCCGCTGCGCCACTCTGATTGTTGAACCTTAATCTATAACATAACTTCTTGTTGTCTTCATAGTTCTTTTCCTTGACCGTCTCTTCCCCTCTTTGGCTTCTTTATTGCAGCAGCATCCATAAAAAAATTTACTAACCAAGAAAGCAATTCAGAAGTTCAAAGCTTTGATCAAAACCCACAAAAGAAATCAATCAAAGAAACAATCTTTGATCAAGAAGAATGAGGAGGAGACCTGGTATTGGAGGGTTACAAACAGCAGCTGCTGCAAGGGTAACTGTTGTTTGATTCGTAGGTTTCATTTTTGTTTGTTGTACTGTTAAATATTTATTGTTGCTGATTTGTTGTTTTTATTTTTGGTTTCCATAATGCTATTGAAGGATCAATATCGGTTACTAGGAGAAAATGTAGCAAAGCTAAGAACTGATCTTATGAAAGAACAGCTTGCCACTTTTCGTTCCCAGCTTGAAGAATTTGCCCGCAAACACAAGGTAAGCTGATAGAATTCTGTATTATATCAATATATTTTACTATTTGAAGATGAAACAGTTAAAACTTTTACTGCTGAAGTCGTGAATTTAAAGGTGTTTAGTTCTGTTATGATAAAGAATTATGAAATTTTGGACTTCTTTCATAAATTCAATCCTAACCCAGTTGCTCATTTTGATGGATTTTGAGCAAAAATGAAGGGAAAATAGTATGATTGTTTAGGTTGTGACTTTTATGGAAACTGGTATTGAGATTTTGATGTGGGCCGGTGCAGAATGATATTCGAAAGAACCCAACTTTCAGGACGCAATTCCATGAGATGTGTGCTAAAGTTGGAGTGGATCCACTGGCATCGAATAAGGGTTTTTGGGCAGAGCTGTTAGGGATTGGTGACTTCTATTATGAACTTGGTTAGTACTGTTTATTTCTTGATTATTATGGTGCTTTTTGTAATGCAAATGTGTTTGAGGTTTCAAGTGTCTTTGATGCAAGACAAGAAGGTGTATCTGTTGCTTACAAGAATGTTATAAATGCATTCTAAGAACATTTATTTGCAGTTTGTATTGGAATCATTTGACATGTTTGCAAGAATACATCACCTAAGAGGCTATTTAACTAAAATTAATTACTTTGTTTTGTAATAAGACCGTTGGTGGGTCTCAAATTGAGCTCTGATTTAATTATTGAGGATTGAAACCTTATGGCTTTAAATTCAAAGATCTTTGGGGGATTACCAGTTAGAATGTTGTATTTTGAAAAAGTACAGTCTCATTTTTCTGATGGTGAATCATATAATCTTTGGTGCATTATATGATTCTTTGTTCGTGAGGTATTAGGTTGTATCTTGGAAATCTTCTTGCTCCTCTAGCTCCTGCATTCCACTTTCAAGTCTAGTCTTTTCAGCGTATAGTATCTTATTCAATATTGCTCTAAAATGTCATTAATGATAAATATCTACTTGGCTCCAGGAGTGCAAATTGTAGAGATATGCTTGGCAACAAGACCTCACAATGGAGGTTTGATCAACCTGCAAGAACTCTGTGCTCTGCTTCGGCAGAAACGAAAAAGTGATCGTGAAGCTGTGTCAGAGGATGACTGTTTGCGTGCTATAAGTAAGCTGAAGGTTTGTATTAAGGAGCTTTTGTGGTATGTGTTCTATTGATACTAGCTCTGTTCGAGAAACAAGATGCAAATGCGATGTGAAGTTCTTCTACTGTTGACTGGGGGCAACAGAACATTTTTATGTGTATGCTGTTTGCAAATTAGTTTAGATGCATAATGCTTGCTGTAAGATAGATTAGTCTTTGCATTTGCTTCCATATTGTTATATTTCAAGCATGCAATAGTGTCGTTCTCTATTTCATGATCAGCAATAGAGTTACATGTCTCAAGTTAGTTTCCTGGCAACGTTTGTTAATAGACTGAGTGATGCATTATGAACATCCAGAGCTTGAATCTTTTCAGATATTGGGCAGTGGTTTTGAGGTGATTTCTGTTGGGAAAAGAAAGCTTGTTCGGTCAGTTCCAACTGAATTGAACAAAGACCATAATGAAATTCTGGAGCTGGCTCAGGTTTTTCTATTTTCCATATCTTAAAATATCATCTTCATCAAAGAACAAGTCTCTTATGTTGCATCAAACTTCTTAATTCTATCAGGCTCAAGGTTTTGTGACTGTTGATGAGTTAGAGAGACGGCTTTCTTGGACATCTGGTCGTGCTACTGATGCCCTTGATACTTTATTAGATGTAAGTGTTTGTCACCAGTATTTTATTACACATAGTCCAATTTCTCATCTACCCCATTATCACTTCTCAAACAATTGGATTCTTGGGGTTCTTAAATCCTTATTGGTGTATCAATGCAGGAAGGACTTGCTATGATTGATGATGGCCATAGAGATGGCAAACGCCGCTATTGGTTCCCCTGTGTATCTTCCATCTCCACTTCAGTGGTTTCTGATATTTAATACGTGGTTCTTGTCTCTCCACGTCGTTTATACTTGTGCACTGACATAAAAATGCCATAGGCATTTGATTTTTCTCCTCCGTATTTGTTGTGTTGGAGGTGCTTTGAAAGTTTCAAATACAATTTTGACAGAAATCAATATATGCTGTTCCCCTTGCCTGCCTGCCTTCCTCCTCTCGGCCAAATGCGTTTAACAAAATTCTTTTCTGCTAGACGTGGATGAGATTGACTGCTTCAGATAAATCTTTCAAAGCTCCTCTCTAATAATGGCAATGTACAGAGGGCATGGTTGCTTATGCTCATTTTTAATCAAGGAGTACACAAAATTATATTCATAAAAAAACTAAGAGATGAATGAGATTGATGACCACGGGTCTGTGGTCCCAAGAATAGTTCTTTGAGAAATTAACTATAAATTGTATCCTGAGATTATCGAAACATGCAAGGAATTACAGAAAACAATCTTATGACTGAGTGTGCCTCTTAAATTTTGCTAAAAATTTCATGCATTTACAACACATCTTGAATTCGAACCAAAACAAATGTGCTTGACAGAATTATTGGACTGCAACCTGAGAAGCGGTCTCAGTCTCTTCAGTCCAGTCAGTGGTAGGTTCACTCCAGGACCTTGGTCTTACCCCAAGCTTAAAATACAAGGCCATCTCTAATGCCTCAAAAACCTTATTCTTATCCAAGAATTCATTCCAAACTCCACTCACTATGCAATAATTGTTGTTATATGGCTGCCGATGATGAGCACCGTGTTGTGACCTTGACACAAGCAATCCAACATCCTGCAATGCCACTACTATGGGGGGTAACTTGCTCTTTGTGCCATGAGCCCACGCATGAAATTGCTGGCTAAACATGATACAACCGGCGAGCACACCAGCAAAGGCATTTACAGTGGGATCATTACAAACCAAATCTACAGGAAGCACAAAGAATGCTACTGCTCGTGCAAGAGCATGCAAGTTATTAGCAAACTGACGCCTAGTTATTGTCCATGGCCACTTATGATGACCTTGAAACGCTTCAATTTGATTGCCAAAAATCGGTGTTGATCCATCACCATAGTTGTCAATACCCCAATGGTAGACCCCAGATCCAAGGTCAGCTAAAATGTACCCAATATAGCCTGCTAACATGGGCTCAAGCCACATATGAGAATGACCTGCACCTGCAATGGCCTTAGCTAGAGAAACCAGCACCGTGGTGCACCCGGTTGCTACCCATGTTCGGTGAGACCATGTTGACTGCAAACTTGGGTCATTCAGCACAGGAGGAGTGCTCATAGAGGTGACTAGGTTTGGAGGGGTTACAAACTTTGGCTCAAAGGTTAACTGGTTAGGGCTAGACTTAGGCTTGGTAGGGGTGGTAGTGGCTGAGCAGATGATACGCTTGCGGTGCCATGGATTATGGGCTGGGGACCTTGTGAGGCAGTGGTTGTGCTGGGGAAGGATAGACATCGAGGGTGGCTCAGAGAAACCGATACCAACGTGGCTTGAGAGGCGATATATACGAGCTCAAAACATGAAACTAGTGGCTCTAAATCACGCTGTTGGTCTTGTGGAGATATTTGAAAGACTTCAATGTTATGGTCTGCACATAGGATTCGTGGGGTTATGGAAGTCGCAAGTTCCTTGCTTTGAATTTTGCATCACACACGCTATTTGCTAGAGTCTTTGCCTCGACATTTTTAATATTCAGCTTGTTCTTAACACTTTACGTTGCCTTGGCAAAGAATTTGACACATAACAAGCTATGAATTACATGGTGGAAGACAAAGGGTTAGCTTATTGGAGTACAAAACTCCTTAGAGACCATACAATTTGGTCTCATATATAGTGGTCCACATGCCAAGAGTTTGGGAAACGTTTTTTTAAGCTAATTGGATTGGTTTTGATTATTTTTTAAAATATTTTTGAATCTTAATAAATTAAAATAATATGAAAACACATATAAAAAATAGATTTTTTTAAAGAGAAAAAACATAAAAATAAACCAATTTCTGCCAAGGTCAACAAACAAATTGAGTGGACAGTTTTTTAAGATGGTTATCTTTCCATGCTCAAGGTTGTGACCAAATGGCTCTCTCCATCTTTTTGTCTAGTGGTGGACTTGGTGAGGGAAACTTTTCTACAGATGGAGACAGAAAAGGAGTGGTGTTCTAATAATTTAGCCATTGATAGTGAAAATTGCTGTGGAATATTCAAGTCCTGAAGCATCTACAAGATGCCCATTTGACATCGCCAAAATATTAAATATGTATGAGTGATGTGAATATAATGGAGTTAAATAGCAATTTCAAGTTTCTAATTTTTCTCAATAATTTTACTTTGAAATTATTTATTTTTATTGTTTGAGTAAGTGAGTTTTTAATTTTTTTAATTAATTTATTTTATTAAGTTCAGTCTATTTTATTTTGACATATTTATTAAATTAACACCTGAACGATTCTAATAAAATCTCAATAATTTATTGTTTTTTAAATTCATTTGTTAATAATTGATGTTTCCACTAGATGACATCCTTGTACAAAGTTTTTTGAAGTAACAATCCAATTTTTCAGAATTGATAAAGTATATATATAATTTTCTGCAAACGAGAAACAAGAATCAGAGTGGCGCAGCGGAAGCGTGGTGGGCCCATAACCCACAGGTCCCTGGATCGAAACCAGGCTCTGATAGAGGAGTAGCTTCTTCCTTCCCACTCGTTAGTTTTTTATTTAATCGCGCTCCTCTGTATTCTTTTTTATTAAAAAACTGTTAAGACTTTGAAGGAAGGCTTCTCCGTGAGGATGGTTACAACTTTTAAACAATTTCTACTGATATTAATTTGTTACTAATGATGATGTTCCCAGAAAAGTACCAAGGAAACCAGCGTTGAAGCCACCGAATTCTCTTGGCCCTGCGGACTGCTTGGGATTTTGATGAAATTTTCCATGAAATTGAGGGATGCCAAAGCAATGCGTCGGTGTTACTCGATGGTTGCAAGCTTGCCAAGAAGTCATTGCAGCCACTTGAAATACAGGTTGGTTGGGAAGATAAACGCAGATGGCAGATGACAAGTCAAGCGTGGGTGAAGATGTTAACTTGTGCAGCGGTTTCATTGTGGATTGAAAGACCATGCTCAAACACTCATCTGAGCTGCGGTGCTAATCGAGTGTATAATTTTCCAAAAACATTGCAACAGCAATAATTTTCTGTGTTTCAAATTGAAAAGCTGGTAAAAATTGTTCTACAGCCCTTGCACATCAGTGTATCAGCAAAACCAAAGGTTAATTTGAGAGCTATAAATCAATGGCACCTATTTCTTTCAATCCTCAAGAGTGCCCTTCGTATGTCTCAGCCACTACCCTACTTGACAGTAACGATATTGCAGTTCAATCTACAGTTACTGAGCAATCAGTTCTTGTACTGGGAAAATGAATTCTATTCCCTGCCAATGCTGATATCCCTGTGGCCTTTTTTGGTATCAAAAATAGAAAAGCGGGCAAATAGTTTTCCTTCAATTCCGGGCTTGACTGTCAAGATAAGATGAGGAATGGCATGAACCTGCATAATATGGCCCGAAATGTGAGGAAACAAAAGTTACTTGTTTGGCTTGGTGCATTCAAGGATTATAAGTGGATAGTTAACTCTTGACTTGGTGACAATTCTTATTTTCTCTTGTTTATCCAAAACGTCATTGATAACGTCAAAATTAGAGTCATGTGAAAACATGAAAGTTGTAGGCAATTGTCTTAGCTTTCTTGTGTAACAAATTCAGCTCATTTGGACTTCTAGAACTCAGATAATTGGGTCATATATGAAGATATATATCTCAGATTTAGGTCCAATTTATATGGATGGAAAGGTAAGACATAGACTTATAACTTTCATATGGAGCCCAAGATCTAAAAATGCCATTATCAAGTCCAAATTATAGCAATAACAAAGAAGCCCGAATCTGTCTTCCAGCCCGAGCACTGTTCGGTATTTTGGCCATATCTGGAGTTCTAGAAATTCAAATGAGCTGAATTGTTTACACAAGAAAGATAAGATAATTGCCTACAACTTTCATGTTTGCAACTAGCTCCAATGTTGACGTTATCAATGACGTTTTGGGCAGATAAGAGAAGATAAGGATTGTCACCAAGTCAAAAGTTGGTCACCCACTTATCAATTAGTCATCAAATCAATAGTTCTTAATTTTGGCCTATAAAAGGAGGCATTTGCCATACATTTAGGCATCTTGGTTTCCAGATCAAGATCATGCTCTTCCTTTCTCTCTTTGTTTTTTTTTGTAATGTTTATGCTTTGCTTTCATTAATATTAAGTTTATGTCTTTCATTTCCTTTCCTTTATTTAGTTAACTTTTATGTTTTTATTTTGTTTATCTATTTTTCTTTCTTTCATTATGTCTAGCTAAGTTAATTATATCAAGGTGAAAAGGTTACACTAATGGTGTAAGAATAAGTATAATGTAAACTTAATATGGACTTTAATGTTTGATACTAACATGTTTTATATTTGTTATCTTGTTTACTCTTTAATACTTTGCTTGTTAAATGATTAATCTTGATTTATGTTGTATAACACTTGGTACAACAAATGCTTGGCACTTTCATAGCCCATAATGTATGGTATAACCGACACCTGAGCTATGAAAGGAACTTGATTTGTTGTTAACATAAGTTATAATCATGAATGCTTGACGAGATTTACAAGTATTAGCATTAATTGAATAAGATGACTAATATAATCATGTTAACAATTTATAATCCAATTGGAACCTTCTTTATGTGTGGTTTCCAATTGAATAATAAGAGTTTATAGTATACTTGTTTGACATACCATTAGTGGAATCTCTAACCTTGACATTTGTTATTATTATTGTTTAATCCTTACATTAATTTTTCATCTCCAAGTTCTCATCATCTTCTTCTTCTTCTCTTTCTTTATTATTACTACTACTACTACTACTACTACTATTATTATTATTATTATTATTATTA